GGCGACACGGATCTGTCTCTCCCACCAACGTCTCAATTCGACGTAAACGTTGTTCCAAGGAGAGAAGCTACAAAGCAACTTTGTGACTGGCGATTCAATCGAAAGAAACGTCGACATCCATAAATCTCACTCATGGATAACTGCCGAATACTACTACAGTGAGAACAAATCTAAAGTACATCACCTCTTCTGCCTCTTTCAGAACGAAACGACCCAGAAACGAGAGAATATTCCCAAGTCAAAAATGTCCGATATACAAGAGGTTGAAAAAAGTAAGCATTGTATGTACCTTGCCGTCGGCAGACTTGTCCGATTTCGCTGGAGTTTCCTTCTCCTTAGAAACCGGTGCACCACCAGAGACCTTCGATACTTTCACGCCCTTAATATGAACCATGAAAGCGATTGAAAAAAGTACGAATGTAGCAGCGCAGGAAATGCAAATCAAACAGCACCTTGAGTTCTTCAGCTAATGCAGCAAGCGAAGATTCATTCACCATAGGCGTAGTCTTAGCCGAGTCCTCCTGAACATGAAGTATTTTTAACGCATAAAAAAGAACACTGTTCAAAACGTGTGAAACCTGCAGCTGTTGTGCTAACTCATCGATTTCGCATGCTATTCTATTGAATTTCTGCTCAGTAGTTTCAGGCTCGCTATAATCTGAAATTATTGGGAATATGTCGTAAAAAAGTGCGAGAAGCAAAATAAACTTGTACCTTACCTTTACCCACGACTTCTAGCACGTACATTGAACTTCCATACGATTTCCCTCGCCTTTTAGCGATTGAGTCGGAGAAGTCTGAAGATTTACGATTAATCGAAGCAACCTGGAATTCCGAAGAGAATAGTCACCAATATTGCGTGTATTGAGAGTGCGGTCCTTGAACCGTTTTCGAGCTGCATCAATGTCCAAGTGGATCTGGAATCAAGCATCACCTTTCTACAGCAATATAATTACCATGCAATGTTTGGGTCAGCCATGACTGAAATAGCTCATAATGTTGGGAATGTTTGAATGCCAACCTGTTTTTATACGACATACAATATTTTTTATAAGATCCTACTTACTATAAAGCGCTTCGTCTGTCGTTCTTTATGTCTGTCACGAAATTCTCTTGATCCTGGGGAATCGCCTCGAGAGTCTGGGTCAACAGTGGGCCAAGGTCTCGAAGTACGAAACACACATCAGC